TCCCTCTCTCTCTCTCTCTGCATACTTGGTAGCATCTGAGCAACTCCCATTTGATGCATGCTGAGGAGGTGGGTGTATCCAGCCCAGCCGCTCTGATGTTAGGAACCAGTAACTCTTCCATCCTACTCAGTCTGCTCTCCTTGCTCTCCTGTTTCAGTCAGTCTGTCTGCCCTCTAGCGTAGTATTCTCCTTTCACTCACCACTATTCATCACCATCTAGGATACATTTACACAAACCCACGCAGGTAGACAGACTACTGTCCTAGTGGACTGAAGTGTTTTACGTTTGGGCTGATAGATACAGATATATGTGCATTACCTTGGAAAGAACTAGAAAGTGGGGATCTGTAGCAGTGCTGTTGAAGGTGAAGTTTTCCCCTCCACTACGTTTTTTGTCCCAAAGGATACCACACGCAGCTGCGGAGGTAAGGGAAGATTAGATGTAGTCTGCACTTTTTAAAATTTCCTCCCTGTTTTGCTCTCATTCTTCCTTTTTCAGCTGTTTATGAAGTTCATTTCGTGCGTTCCTCCTTCGTCATCCTACTCTATTTTCTTAAGGTATCCTCTGTGAGTTCATTTATTTATCATATTAATTTATTCTTTTTGCTGTCTCTTTTTTCAATAGTATTCTAATTTACAACTATCTGGCGCTCTGTTTTTCTCTCCTCTCTGACAACATTTTTGTACCTGAATTTACATTTTCAAACCAGCACACATGTCTATACATTCCAGCCATGCTGTGATGACTCCAGTTTTTATCATCTTTTTTTCTCTTTATGCTGATGTTTATTTTTTCCCCCTGAGCTTTGGGATCTTCTCTCTCTGTGGTAATCAGATGCTGAAAGCGAGGCATGCACATACATATTCGTGCACGTATTTTTCTCTTTATTTCTCTCTCTGTCTGCCTGTCTGTTTGTCTTTTACATCTCTTCTATACCGGTTGATCCCTTTTCCGAAGCATTTCATTAGCTGGGCCAGGTTTCAGTAGAATTCCCTTCTGGCCTGACTAATGTCTTTCAGCTGGGTTCAGACCTGCACATATGCATATGGTTACAATACACACATACTGTAGAAAGTAACCAGACAGTGGATGGAGCAGAGAAGAAATACGGTTTGTTTAGAGTGATCATGCAACTTTTGCATGGTTGCTTCTTAGCGATCTGCATGCATTTACTCTGCAGCTTTGCTTCGCTTGCTGTCCCTCCTTTCCTACATCTCTCTCTCTCTCTAATGCAAAACCCCCCTTTCTCTCTCTGTCTCTGCTTTTTCATGGTCTGCATGTATTCACAGTTAGTCTTGGTCACTGCTCTGCCTGCCTGCCACAGAGCATTGGCCATGGTTGGTTGGCTAACCGCAGCTACACAACATTAAAAAGGCAAAGCGTTGTTGTTACACGGGGCATGTTTACAGGGTGTCACATTGTCTGCGCGTGTGTTTTGTGCTGCATTCGCTGACATTAAGAACTCTCCATCCATGCTCAGGTTAAAGGGCAAATTGTTATTCACACACACACATACGTACACACACTGTCCTCCGAGATATGGCTGACCTGCATTAGTGTACAGTCCCCTGCTGTGTGGGTGTTTATGTTTGTGTGTGTGTCCATGTGATTTCCTTGGAGGTGCAGAGAGGTGAGTCATACCAGCTCACATGCCGTTGGCTGTTAGAGGCATTCACTGTAATGATACAATGATGTGTGAATTGCAAATAGACACTATCTGATTTGAACCGTGTATCCATGAAATGTCAGCTTTTCAGGAAATGAAAACAAGCAAATCGTTTTTTTTAGCTCACCGCCCATGAATTTTTAAGGTTATCCAGAGCGATCTGAGAAGGTTTTGTAATCCCAAGTCTCAAAGAAACACATAGAAGAGCTTGTAGTCCATTAATTAGAGTTACCATACTAAAATAAGCTAGAGCAGAGTTAAAAGGCTCGCATTGCACTAACAACATTAAAATGATACATTTGTTTTGAATTGGGGATAGCAATGTTGGTCCGTCAGTCGGTTCACCACTTTGGTCTGAACTGGATGGATTGCCATAAAATTTGATACCAACTGATGGTTCCCAGGAAAAAAAAAAATGAACAAACATTTTCTAGGGTAAACATGAATAGTAAAGTAGCCCAGTTTGGTCCTGCAGTGGAAATCAGACCATTAGGGACTAAGCCTCAGGTAGAACTGTATAGGACAGGCTTTGCAGCTTAATCTGATGGAAAGTGTATTGAAGCACACAAACACACACGTGTGCACTTGGCCCACCCAGAATCTGTAGCCACTCCAGTGAGCATCTTGGGATGGCTGCTCTTATACAGAGCAAAGCACAGAACGCTTGCTTAACTCTGAACAACTAAACATGCTATGCCCTATCTCCCACCATCAACACACACACACTGAATAAAGTCACACTGCTCTGACTGTGTTTTCTGAGTTTGTGTGATGGCCATAATGGTAATTATTCTAATTTGTTATTCTAAAGATAGCTGTCAGCTAAGAAACAATGCGGCACAGACCACATGGCACACGACACAATTCCCTTTACACAAACATTGTAGTGATGTGTGTCTGGCGTGTCTAGAGCAGTGTGTTGCAGGTTGTTTTCTCACTTGTCACGAGCTGAGATGAGCAGTAATGTGCATGGTGTGTGTGTATGTGTGAAGTTGGCCGGTGCCAGTCGATGCCAGTCTGTGCTCTGTCTCTGACTGGCCAAACGCCCGGTGCTCCCATGTGGTTCATATTCTCCAGACTTTCACATCCACTGACTCCTCCTAAGGCTGCTCTGAACCTGTAAATGCCTTTGTTGGCCCACACAGCGTGAGTGTGTTTGTGCACAAGTGTGTGTGCTAAGTTGATTGCTTAAAGTGATAAAGGTGTTCAGTTTCTTACCGAACCAAATAATCCACTACAAAGACAAAACAAAGCTAGAAAAGGACAGAATCTGCGAGGGGGTGTGTGAGCTTTCAATAACACTTGCATGTCTGCTTGAGATTGAGCCATGCTGGGCGACAGTGGGTTGGATTTTTTTATTGTTTCATCTTCACAGATAGATGTTCTTTCATCGAACAAGTGGCAGAGCTTGAGCTAAGGAGCTTTAGGGCTTCTTAGCAGTGCTGTGGGAGGGAGAGGGACTCCCTAAACTCTGTCTATGTCAGTCAAAGAAGCCAAAAACCCCTCGCTGAGAACACACAGATACATGAGAGCCAGGAATGAGCACGCTCACACTCACACACACACACCAGCTGAGCGAACGCCTAGGGATAGCACTACTAATCTCATTCTCTGTTGACACACTATTGCTCAGATGTGCCATGCTTTCACAGCTCTCTCTCATTCTCTCTCTCTCACCATGTTGGTATCCCAAAGCTAGAGGTGTATTCCTTCCTATCAGTGTCAGCAGAAGGGTGAGTTCACACTGGGCCAGAGGTGTGTGTGTATTCTTTGTGCCCGCAGCACATCTGCTCTGTAAACCACAGCTTCCCACAGACTGCAAGACTTTAAAAAACAGTGGGGCTTTGCAGAAGTTAAGATAAAGTGGCTCTGTGGTGAGCAGATGGTTTTTTAGGGGTGGGAAGTAGTGAGAGGAGAAATTCTCCTAAGTAAACTAATTCATTGGATTATCCAACACTAGTTAATACATTCAGAACAAATTCAATTCAGTGTTCTTTTACTTCATTTCAAACATATTATCCATAGAAAAGGAAGATTAAAGATAAAAAGAAAGAGATATAAAATAAAGTATAAAAATTGGAAAGTGTGGATCCAGAGAAAAAACTTTATTTATCTCTGACAAATGAAGAGTTTGTAGACATCAGCGCTTTGGTCCCTGACAATTCATGAGTTTGTTGTGGCTGAGGTTGATCCAGACCATTTTTTGGACAGTAGCCAGGCAGCATTGAAGTCACTGCCAAGGTAGGCAGATTTCTTTCTTTGCCCAGAAAGCACATTTTGTGTTTAAAGGAATGTCAGCTGGCTTACATCTATACAGTGTAGTCTTACTACAGACTCTGAACCCTTTTGAACTATCAGTCTGATTTTGTGACGGACCAATTTGAGTCATTTTTGTCACTCAAAGGAACGACTGACTGATGGCACGACAAGTCACAGCTCAGTGACTCCACCTTATCTGTCCTGTCTGTAGGTTAAGATTGATTTCTTGTCATTCTAGTCAGCTAAACTGCTCCATTGTGGTGAT